TTTGAATAAGAGTTAAAATAATAATTTAAGTGGAAGAATGCCAGCGATTAAAATAATTTGGTTTTTATCGAAGGTAAGTTCAGCTAGGCCCTTGTACGTTAGATCGCGCTGCTGCACTGTCGGTTCGTGCTGGCCTGGTAACCGTCAGCCTGTCTGTGCTTAATGGGAGGGCATAGGCCTAGGTATTGGAAACTGACACCGATCTAGTTTACAAATTTACGAACACCCCTTGGTACCAAGGTGTATGTAAAATGGACGTTTTACTGTAATAGAGGGAAATGGCGAACCGAGATGACGTCACTGAAATTTGGCGAGTTGGGTATGGAATATAAACAAATCGAAACTCGCTATGTTATTGTGTATGAGGTGTGTTGAAAAGGGTAAATAAACGAACGTTTTAAACACATTTAAAACAGTAGCATGGCATTTTTTACAATGCCCTGTAACATTTTATACTATATAGGCAAATTTGAACACATTTTAGTTAAATTTGTATTTAATTAAAACTTAATTCTCCTTAAAGAAAGTCCACGATTTCCCATCCGTCTCTTTTACTCCTTTAGATATTCAATCGCTCATAGTGAGCGGAGTAAATTTTGGAATATCTACTAGTGATTTTTTGAAGTTTAAGTTCTGTTTGAAATTACAAATACAGCAAGAATCATGGCTATCACAACAAAAACATTGAGAAGCGGCCATGATTGCTATGTATAAAGATAGGAAATTAGTGCCCTCAACGGTTTATTATGATTTCATACCAAACACGATTGTCGACGTCTATTCGCCATTTCCCTGTATTGCATGCCTAAGCTCTTCTGTAGGCAAGACTTTTTTATACCTCGTTTAGTGAACCCGTAGCCCGCCAACAATGATGATTTCGATTAAAAATGAAATTTTATTTTTGCTTAATTAGTGTACCCGCTGCTACAAAAAATGGAAATTTAAGAACACTTCCTTAAAATCTTCAAAAATAAGATATGTACAGTATATTCCTTTCTAATTATATAAATTTAAAGCATTTTTCACCATCCCATTACCACACTGTTTACATTCACCAACAAAATTTTCTTTTCAGTCTGGATGTTTTTGGCAAAACTATTTGCTAAATAAGAAAACAAAAATTTCTTCTTTTTTTTTTCCGCCCTCCTCAGACGATCCTTTAAAAAAATAAGTTCACAAAACAAGGTATTAAAAAGTCTCGCCGTATCTCCATAGTTCTTTCTGACAAGACGGAACAGTACAGAACAGATACAGTATTGTATGATTGTGAAATCTAAGGGTAATTCTTACCCGAATGGGTGTTAAAAGTGGACCACCTGCCGATATCCTCTGATAATCCAACGCTTCAAAGTGCAGTGTTTTTTGGAGGACCAACAGCAGCATGCGTTAGCAGCAGGGAGCATTTTTTATCACTTAATACCTTTTTGATTGCTCTTTAATTGTTTCAACACGCGCCAGAAGTAAAGTCTGTTTAAATTTTCATGGTCTCTTTTACAGTTTATTTTCAAAAAGAAAACTGAAAAGCTTGATAAAATAAATTATTTCAACAGTGGGCTAGCTAGAATCCAGATTGTTACCTTTTACTATTCATACGTCCGCTGCATGCATAGATGATCATGGCACCACTGCTTATTAGGTAGTACAGTAATAATTTTCTGTTTTTAAAACTACCATTGTCAAACGAATGAAAGTTTATTCATGGTTTATAAGCCCAAAATGCAAATCTGCAATTTATTTGGAGTTTGCAATACGCTTTATGAAGTCTATTGTTGAAGCTTCAAGACTTCGGACACTTCATTACTTGATTTTGAGACAACATTATGCATTGGACCAATACCAATGTCCGTTTTTTAATTAAAGCTTGGGGTTTCAGTTTGTTTACAACAATGAACCTACACAATGTATTATGTGTGGTGACTCCATTAAGCCAAGGTAGGCTTTAGGACTGAGCCACCAGAAAACAATCAATCAATGAAAAGCAGCATGACTATAAGAAAAAACTTAAGATCTGAAAAGAGAAATATCCAAATACAAAGATAATAATCAACAAATGAAACAATTTTTAAATAACTTCTTACTGTATATAACAAAGAATGTGTCGAGAAAAAACTTTAAAATGAATTAGTGGTCACGATTAATTTTTTATTTGGAGGAGCAAATTTGAATATTAATGGTAGTTTTGACTTATAAAATGTATTGGTGTAGTAAATATTTCTTGTATTTATTTTTGAGATTAAGTATTGTTGTTGATAATTCATGCAAGGGTCAGGGCAACTTGATAGAAACTCATAATTTGCACCCGTAATATTTTAGGTTTTACGTCCAAGGTTAATGGTTTTTTGAAAGCCAAGTTCTACACGAACCGGTAGACCACACGTAGATACAATACCAGTAAGAACACTATGTAAATTTTTCCTGTTCTCACCCAAACGCTGTTTATTATTTTTAACTAAATACGTTCAAAATATACAAAATAGTATATTATTACATAAAAAAAAAACCAGAATAATTTTAATGAAAGTGGATGATTAAAATCCTGGTTTGTGAAAGTCGGGACTGTTTACACTGAAGTGTTCCTATGTTGACAGGACTATCCTGGAGAAGCTTCTCCTGAAAGCATTCAGCTTCGTTGAGCTCAGGTGCAGCACATTGGAGTCGTTAATGTTCACCCATTTACACTAACCCCAACTGCGGTGTTTGAAACGTATTGACAATGGTGAAGTAAAAGTGGGTGATAGTGTAAAACTGGTATAAGTTATCACAGCCATCTGTATCAAAGATTGAACATTTTACAGAATACTCAGGATTATTCGCAAACTGTCATATTATAAGTGAATTCTGAGATGTGTATTTGTAAAGGTCAACAAAATGAAGTAAGTTTTTCAGTGTGTCACTTGAGCCACTATGTGAATGTGACAAGTGTTTCTTTAATTATCATATTTATTTAAAGATATAATCTCGCAAAAACTAAATTGGCTGTTTCATCTAGAGCTCAATTGAAATGTACTTAGATCACATCTGGTTGCAAACTGAGCCTTATGGCCATAAACAATAGCATCGCGGTGTTGTGCGTGGATGTGGTTGGAATAGAGGAATATATTTGAATGGTCACCATGTCTACACCAAATAGAAATTTGCAGTCTGAACATAGCTCATTTTAAAGCATTAGGAGTGCACTAGGTGGTTACGAGGCAAGCACAATTCCAAGGAATATGGTTCAAATCCTGGCAGAAATTTTGATTTACATACAGAGCACCTACTGTTTTGTCAGCTTCACTGCACAACCATCATTCATTTTTTTAATGATTAGTTTCTTAACCATACTTAAGTCTAATGGCTTCCACTTTCAAGAAATATTCCTTAAAGCCTGGTTTTCTTAAAATCACTACATTGTTGCTACTGTGTTTTCAGTTATCGTTGTACTGCGTAGCAGATCTCAAAAGGCGCCCCAATTCGATCAACCAATCAGATTGTACATTGAAACCAAGCTAAACATCATTCAGGAAAATTGCACAGTGAACCAGGAGACAATCTACTCTTTTTCATTTAAGAGTTTTCTGCATTCTTAGTGCACACAGGCCCTACAGCTTACTTTCCTCATCTGAAAAGACACTATAATAACTTTGTACAGTATTTAAAGACCTCTAGCCGATACACTAGGAGTGCAACAAACTGGAATCGACTAGGGATTAAAGACCTGGTAGAAACTCTAATTTTTAGCACACACTAAGTGGCTATCCTACATGTAAGTTTAGCCAACCAAGTTATTGTGTTATGTGAACCATCCAGATCTATTTACCCTCCATTTTAACAGATAATCGCAGCCCTTAGAAACTATCCTTTAGGTCTATAAAATTTGATTTGGGTATAGCAAGTGCTCCTACTGTAGGCATTACTAAAAACGCTGCAGTGCTTTAAAAAATCACGTTATTCTTAAGTTCACTTGATCAAACTTTTAGTCTGGCATACTTTTGTTTTAATTTCTTCTAGACTGGCTATCAATCAATTCAGTTTCCTTTGTGTATCATTATTTTATCACACCTACAGTACCGTCGATAGTTTGCTCCCTTGTTCTTTTCAACTGTAGCATCTGTCAAAATATATAGTAGTACAGTATGTACTAGAAAAAGCTACTATACGATTCGAACCATGAATTTATTACCTTGTACAGTTGGTACCTCCTGAAATATTGACAAATTGATTCCGTTCATTAACACTGTATGTGTCTTTTATCCCTCATTGAAAAAATGATACACTAGCATTTCTGTCAATAGCTTTCTCATTAATTCGACCTTTGGCATTATGTAATAGATGATAACTGAAAACTTTTTAATTTTTCTTTTTTAAATAGTAGACCATACTACTGTATCTTTATGGGAAAAAATTTGTTTAAACTGTTAAAATACATCAGTGGAGGAGAAAATACATTTCTTCACAAACATTTCCAAATGTGGTCAATAAAACTATGGAAAAAACATTTTCATACCATATGTAGAACATAAACTGCTTGAATTAAGGCTTCCTTTGCATTACATTAATTTAGTATTAACTCAGGGGTCCCAAGTTAGAGTAAGTCAATTACGGGAGATCTGAAGTAGTGAATCCAGAAATTCGGAATAGAGGGGACCTGGGGGGGGGGACTTTCACAGATGGAAGGTCTAGACCACCTTAGTCCCACCATTGTTGGGGCTGAGGTAAGAAAATTCATGTTGATGGTACTACTAAAAATGGCCAGAAAGGCACTCTCAGACTTAAAATACTGTATAATTTTCTTTTTTTCTCCATTTTTTTTTTATAATGTTGAAAAATTTAGGGAGATGGGTTATTTTTCAGGAAAATTCTTGCTGGCCGGAGTAGAGAGGCCGTGCCGATTCCCCGGGGGAAATTCTTGCAAGTTGTGCTAAACTTGGGACCCCTGCTAACTTGAGTGCAGTACAAAGTAGACAGAATATTTCCCATCTCACACTGTGTATACCTATATTGTCTTACTATGCTCTCACCTGACTCTTGGGGATAAGGGCAGGAAGAGATGTTCTCCTGGTCCTCTGACTGTGTATAGATGCCGTACTTGACTGACTCGATGTTCTGCGGCGACAGATAACAGGAATTTTTTCATCATGAGCAAACTGTACTGAAATATTTTGTCTCATTCGTGTTTCCATGTACTTTGCAAGAATGCAACCTAAAATTCCACACAAGTATGCAATGAAAGGCCGGAACCATTGTGGTAGAGATCCCAGGGTTGAAATACTCAAAAATCGCATTATGCTTAAAAAGAATAATACAAACACACTAGATGTGTTTTTTAGGCTAGAGGTTGTACTAGCTAAGCATGCAAAGACGAGAACAGTTGCAACTAGCCATGTACTCAAAACACTGTCATCAGCATCTGTGCCAAACAAAAGTTGGCCCACAATTTCTCCAATATTGCAACCGAGGAACAGTAAATATACACTTGTACTAGTCCATGCTTTGCGAAAGTAGAACGAAAGCCAATAAAAGGCGCATACAATACTAAACATTGGGGCAAACAATCCACACATAAGATGAAAGAAATTCATAACACTGTTCTGGAAGAAGTACACACCGCAACTGATGCAGGCTACGGAAGTTGCAAACAATGCTGCACTTTGTGTTTGAGTGAAATTGTTTGGCTTCAATCCTAACCACGGTAAGTACGGATTGTAATAGCTGTATTCAATCGGCGAAACGGTGGACTTCATATATCCATTGTTGTCTGTAGCATCTCTGTCATCACAATTGTGGGACTTCTGCACTCCTCCATAGCGAACAGAACCGCTTTTTCCTGTCGCCATTTTTTAATTTTCCGGAATATTATACCAAATAATAGGCTTTATTCAGACGCTTTATCGCTAAGTATCGACCATTCCGTCCTCCTGCTTTACATGGCAGCGAGGCTAGTATGAACTAATCACAAGCAAAATACCACCAGATGCTTGATGATATATGATTGGGGGCGCTGATCATCAAAGATAAAATTAATGCAATTATTGCAAAAATAAATTCACTTGCAATTTAGCGCTACATGTTTATAAACAAAACACACTAAATTTCCATTGTGATTCAACATTTCGACCTTTATTTTTAATATCATTATAGACCTAAATTTATTTGTAAAAGTTCTCCATACAAATCATATAGGCCGCGTGGCCCATCAAAAAAGTTACAGTAATCCAACAAATGAGAACAGATTATTTAGCCAATAGGGCTTTTTTGTCGATGATTCACTAAATTAGCTAGCCTAATTACTAAACTAAACTAACAAAAAGGTGTTATGAAGTACGATAGGCCTACTGTTTTAGTTAAAACTTTCATTTTTATGCAGTTTCAGGTTATTGTTCAAATGCACTCTTGTAAAATACGAAAGCTTCTTTGAAACATTAATGAAGCCACAACTGTCAATACGGTACCATAAATCCTCGAATAAGCGCCGCACCAAACGTGATTTTTTTTCCGCTACAAGGCCGGTTCCCACTTGATCCGTATAAGCATGGAGGAAAAAAATATTTTTTCCTCCATGGTATAAGCAACAAGTAGGCCCTATTAAGCAAGCACAATGTGACCATTATGACGATGATGATTATTATTATTAGGCCTATTATTATTATTATCATTATTATTATTATTACAGTATTATCATTTGTTTATTATTATTATTATTATTATTATTATTATTATTATTATTATTATTATTATTAACACAATCTTTCATGTACACAGATGAATTAATTTATCAGTTATCAGTGCACCCATAAGCTATCTATACAATTAAAATGCGACAGCACCGTAGCTTATATTTATTAGGCCTATCTATTCAGTGCATTATATGCAATACGGTACCTCCAGAATGTCCACCAGTTTAAATTTAAAAAAAAAAAAACTATCTCATTAACTGTTCCCGAGTTTTGCGTCCAATATGCTTTTTTTGTTTTAGAAAAATCAGTTGTAGGCCTACATCAACAATTTTTCTTCCGGAGCTTGACTTTAACCTGCCATCTCGTACAGTAATTCTCGTCGGGATGCGACAGGATATTCTTATTTCAAAGTTTGGTGACGGACTGAAGTTTGATGTTTTTAGAACTGAAATATGGCATAGGGCTTAGGTCTGCTATTCCTACAATTGTCGGAATAATATTAATAAATAGTAGGCCCAGTTGAACTGAATTAATGAAATGTTATTCCCCTATGACAGTTGCAAATTTGCTATTGTACTAATTTTTAATTGTTTGTGAATTTTATGTTTTTGAAGGTGAAACGGGAAATTTCAGCCTTTTGAAGATTTCTGCTTATAAATAAATTTACCTTTGAATATATTACCGTAATTACTCTTCGAAGCGCCGCATCACACGTGATTTTTTTCGATAAACGCTGCACTTTATTCAAGATTATTTTATTTTGAATTGAAGCGCTGTGTAATGAAGCACAGAGAAACAGGGTTTTAAATAATGTACCGGTATACAATGAAGACACTGCATACCTTTCAAATCCATAATTGTGGGAGTTTCTAGGTGTTCCGCTCTTTAGACCAACCTCTGAGTAGTGCTTGGCCGTTCATGTCCCCGCCCACTTTGCCGTCAGGAAAAATTCGTTTATCTATGATGATGGGCCTATGATAGGCATTATTTTGCGGTGATTTACTTTCATATTAATGTGATTCACACAACTTCGATCGTTGACATTCGTTACAATTTTACACCACTTTTCCATGAAATATGCAATTACATTTATACTACAAATGCATTAATTGATCAGTCTTTCTTTTTGGAGGATAGACATTTTAAGACTTCTTGGAAACGACGTGTAACGAACGATAGGCCTATACTGTACCTACTTCTTTCCGATCGTCCATAGCGAACGTTTTGAAATACTGTACCCGTAAAGGCCTACTGTTATGATGCAAATTTGTATGTGTATTATATTGCGGTGATTTACATTCCCAATAGGATTAACTTCGACAGTAATATTAGTTACATTGTGAAACCGCACGTTTTCGTACAATATTCAAAGGAATTCTTTAAACCATAGAAACGTTATGATGTTTGTTTCTTTACGCATGTATGAAATTGTTAATATTTTTCAGGGGTTAGCCGGCGGCCGGCGCATACGATCGGCTACTACGATGTTTTCGCCGGCTACTTCAATCAATGCTGTACAAAAATTAATACAAATACCACCAATATAAATAGCGAAACAGGCCTGTAAAGAACCTTATTTACCTACACGAAGTTAATTGGCAATAGTATGCATTCATTTCGATGTTCCTTTCTGTTGAAAGTTCGTTAAAATGCCTACCAATTTTCAGACTCATGTTTGACTTTCATGAACTTTAATTGTTTACTGTGGTCTTCACGCTTTGATGAGCACAAAAACCTATCCTATTGAACTCATCCGCACTCTCACTACAGCATTTTCCCTGCAATCCTTACACTGCGTAGCCGTCTCCGATGCAATGGGAAGTCTCCCTGATTGGACCGACCAGTCAACATTGACGAAAGCTGTTGGCTACAGCAAGTAGTCAAAAGGTCCATCTTCACCTGTGATAATATACTAATTAGAACTAATTTCAGATGAAAAGGATGAATAAAGTTTATCTGTATCTGCAACAAGCTTCTTTGTAGTTGGTGCTGTGAAGATGAGCTATATCCCATTCGCTTAAGATCAGTCACGTTTGCATACTTTTACACCGTCGTTTTGTGGTACCTTACCTAAAACCTGTTTTCCACTAGGCGGATTTATCCGTGCAAATCGAAAGCGTCGATTCAGTTCCTGAGCTCGGATTGGTTGCGCACTTTTTTCACTTCGCAAAAAGTACAAACAGTTCGAACTACCGATTTCGCTGAAGCGAAAAACTCCGATAGAAATGTGAATGCACATGAACCAATGCTTTCAACTCGAGCGAATAAATTCACAAGTGGGAAAACAGGCTAAAGGGACAGCGTTTAGCGGAAAGGCCCATTACACAGTGGCATACTTACCAGTTTTCTTAACATATTGTTATTTAGCAAATTGTAAGTACAGTATTATGACTAATAAGTTTTTAAAATCGATTGGTAAAGATGAAAGTGATCTTTGTAATTTCTGTGACCAAGTCGAAACTGTTGAACATATTTTTTATGATTGTAAACATGCTTCTGCAATGTGGGTTGATTTTCAACTTTTTATAAACAGGGAATGCGGATGCAATTATCAGTTGCGGAGACAGCATATTTTTTTTTTGGTTTTGTTGATCCATCTTATAATGCTTTAAATCATGCGATACTTATAGGTAAACAGTATATCTTCAATGTAGAATAAAACAAAAGCCAATTGTGAATGGTCTAATTAGTTTTATCAAATCAAAATACAAAATAGAAAAGTATATCCATATGAAAAATGCAACTGCAAAAATTTGAAACCAAATGGAGGAATCTCAAGTTTCTTTTTATTTGAAAGAGATGTTTTTTTTCTTGGGATGTGGATTGTTACATTAATGTGTCCCGATTGACTAGAATGATTTTGTTTAAGACATTCTGTTGACTCATCCGGTTAAGTTACTCAACGGACAGGTCGGCATGGGTGGAAGTCTATTTTTTCCCCCTGCCGCAGGTTATTGATGCTCTGTTACTATATGTCCTGCCGGGTGAAGTGACATTTGCGTTTTTTTGTTTTTTTTCGTCTTGTTATGTAATGTGGATTTGATGTATTATGTTTTGTTGGAAATATGAATTTAAAAAAATAAAATTTAAAAAAGTACAGTAGTAGGGTTAATGTAGCACATAATACCAAGGTCTATGAGCTGAAATGTTCATTTCCAGCTTGAAAAAAGTTATTCACTTGCTTTATAGCAATTTTTAAATCTGGATAACTTGAGTCAAACTGGCAATAATTTGCATGAATTTATACTGTGTAGACTAGATGGCAACAGCTACCAGCCAAAAGGTTTAATTATAAAATTGCATGCTGTTAAGCTACATATTTTTTTGCTATTTGATAATGTCTATTTTTACCATTTTGTTGAGTTGTACAATGCCTTTACGGCCTTGTTGAAAAACACCATTGTGGTGAACAAGTGTTTCCGTAGTTAAATAAAGTTTTTATTATTATTGATCATGTGGGATTAAATTATTGATTCTATTAGACAAAGTTATTAGCCTATACTTGCTAATACAAAATGGGAAGATACAAAATGAAAAAAATTCAGACAGATATGATTTCTGTGATTTATTATATTTTGTTAGTTAAGCAGCTATTAAGTTTCAACTACAATAATTATTTCCAATGGTACAAGCCACATATTTATATGTTCAGCAAATACATTGATACAAGTCATTTTTTTAGTAAAGACGCTGTGGTTTTCCCATGGTGCTCTTAACGTACAAAGAACGTACATTCTGCCAATTTTTCTTCAAGAGCGAGACCAAGAAATTGATGGCGAGGCTGATGTTGGCAACAAGTTCATCGTCACTCATTTCAATGTGGCCACAAGCTACAGCAAGACACAGTACCTGGAAAACGAAATACAATCATGTAATTTAACCGTTGCAAGTTTTCTTGGTGTGCAATTCTTAAAGCGAGTCAATATTGTTCATATGTTTCGTCTCGGACAGTCACTTGTCTAACTGCACAAGATAGCGACACACAAGTTACTTTCTGCAGTCTTTCTTGCTTAAGTTGGCATGAGAAGGCCAACATGGCAATTCAGTATGGTGTCAATAGACTGCAATACTACATATATACAAATTGTGCACAAGACTGGTTTGCTAGTTCAGTTTGATGACTTGTGCACAAGTCATCAAAACTGAATGCCACAGACAAAAATGACAAATTTGAGAGGATTTTTGGATACAAACACATGGAAACAACATTAACAGAGAAGGAGCATACAAACTTTCTAATATTTAAAACCAACTAATTAGTCCTGGAACTACCAGGAGAGGGCAGCCCACAACACCAGGAAACATCAACAACTAGCAAACCAGTCATTGTCTGATGAAGATCCGTTGACAAACTTCACAAACAGCTCTCAAAACAGAAATTTACCTTCTTCATCTGAAATTTGATGGTAGCTTTAACTTCCTCGACCTTGTTAGTCAGTGGCTCCTGGTGAGAAACTAGAGTTGGGAACTTTCCTGCTTTGTTCAAACCTGGACCAAGAAGCTTGGGAATTTGTTTGATGAGAGAGTCAGAGGCCAAAAAAGCGTCGTATTTCTTAGCTGAAAAACAAAACTGCACTATCTAAATAGGGTTTCCACATTCCATTGCAACTTTAGTAAATTCGTAACACAATTAAATACCAAGTACAATTGAAGAAAAAAAGCTTGAACTTAAAAGTTAAGATGTAAATTGGTTTACATGTTGAACATTAATTTTGATTAGTTGTCACTTTTACATACACATGTTATTAATACCATTATCAACTATTAACAGTTACTTTTAATCATGCTAATTAGATTACATTTGGTTAACTTTTGTGCTATACCTGTATACACTTTCTTTCACATTTAAAATCATTATAATTTAGGCAAAAATTTTAATGCAATCTTCAAGATTGTTATAGCTGTACAAATGAATAAAGATTACTCATTATTCTCATTACCTAATTTTTTGACAAGTTTCTTGTTCTTGTTGAGCTTCTTCAAAGCATCTGCATTCATGCATGGTATCCCAAGATCTTGAGCCTCATCACAATGCTGTTGATCTCCAAGTATACAAACCGAGAACTTGGGTCGTGGGATAGAATGCAATCTAACAAAGACGAAAACCATCAGATAATCTGATAAGAACGACATATTATTATTATTTTATTATGTTTAAATATAGAACATTTCAATTGTTTCAAATACCGACAATAGTACAATATTTAAAGGTATTTTTATATTTGTCACAATGAGTGGATGACAAAAGCAGATATAGTTATCTTGCAAAATAATTTGGCTATTGAAATTAGGTCTCAATTACAAAGTAGGGAATCAAATTTAGACATATTTTTCAGAGATACAGACTGTATTCAATATTAAAGACAATGTATACAAGATTACATGCCTTGATGGATTTAGTAATATTTAGTAAGAATTTAGGATTTAATTATAAGTGGAGAACCAGAATAAAAGATTTTTGATTTGGACAAAGTTCATCAAAAATGCATTTAAATGTGAAGGTGCCATTCTCAGATTTGTTTCTCAGCATTAGATATCAGATAAGACATGCATTTACCATCATTGAATAGCACAAATTTCTTTATATATTTTTCAATTCACCAAATTTCTAAAGAACAAAATGTCTACCTGTTCTTGCTGCACAACCTAACTATTAGCTAATTTAGGATAGTGTCGGCTGTGACGCCTCCCCACTTATTTTAAGACCTTGGGTGGGGGTCCGTCGGGACAAGAAGTCTCGACTACCTGACCAGACATTAAAATGAAAGTCAGGTTGAAATTAAAGATGGCAACTTCCATACTTGACGGTTCCAGAGAAACGCTTGTCCTTCTGAGGATCGTAGTTCTTCAGGTTGATCTGCAGTTCAACAGTCTCAACAAATTTACGTTTCTTATCCTTGCTGCCTTGTATGATTGCAGCAACTGCATCATATATCGAGTCACGAGACACCTTACTGAAATTGAATAAAACGTACATGCAATACTCAGTTTTCCTTTGCATGCCTTTGAAAATTAAACAAACTTCGTTAAGTTTAACAATTAACTTTCAATCAATTTTTGAATCTTTTAATTTATTTGAGCATGCCATGAGCAATGACTTGAAATTTAATGATCGAGTCACTGCCTGAAATTTGATCAGTCTAAAGCTACTGGATCAATATTTTACTCTGCGAACAATAGCAATTTTTGTAATGAAAATATATGACTCGACGACCTATTTGAATATAAAATTAGGTTTGTCAAAGTGGGCTTATTATATGCTGAAAAACCCCATATTTAATAGGCAGTTGTTACTGTTGTGACTGGAATAGTAATGAGTATAGGCACTGGTGGAAAATGTAATTGATTCAGGGAAATAAAACCAAGGTAGGAATTTGAAATGCAGTATAGATGCAAGGTACTACACTTTTCTTTGGCTAAAGTCAAATATCACCCTTGGGTTGTTTGTTGGTGCATAGATATTCAAAGTAAAACATGACTGAGATAATACAAACAATACAGTTAAACGTGCCCAAGTCGACTTTGCCTAACTTGAATAATTTCTAAAACGATCTTATTTTACATGCCAAATTGTTGTTTTTCATTAATTAACGATATCCAAGTCAAACAATTTTTCAATGCTATTTTGGATTCGATTTAGGCAAGTTCAACTGTGTCTACTAACTATTTAATACAAAAAAAATGAAAAAAATGAAAATAAATGAAAAAAAAAATTTTTTCAGTACCATAAAAAGACATGTGCGCAAGGGTAATAAATATATATTTTTTATTTGACCTAAACATACTCTTTAAATACACGATTATAAAAGCTACCATTACATACATGCCAACACTCCTGTTTTGGCCGGAAGACTACCGTTTCAGTGACCAGACACCTGAACATTTTTTTCTTGTGTTTTTCAAATGCTTTCCCAGTTTACAAAGAAAATTGCATAGGCATACTGTACTCGCGCGAATAAGCGCCCGGCCGCTTAAAATATTTTTTTGCACTTTTTGAGCGGCGCTTATTCAAACGGGGCGCTTATCAAAACATAGTGGAAATTCAGGGGGCGCTTATGGAAATAGATGAAAATCTAGGGGTTCTTATGAGAACTTATTAAATTCAAGAGGCACATTTTGAATGAAAAACGATTATAAAATAACATCAGGAAACCGCAAATTACGAATGGTGGTGCGGTGGAAAAGATAATCATCTAGAGAGCATGGCTTGTCATGACAAGAATGTTGTGAGTACAGTATTACATAAGAGCAGAATAGCAGATGAAATTAGTGGTGGTGGTTAGCTTGTTAGCCATCGGCCGGTTGAGACTAACAGGATGACATGATCATTGCAGGTTTTCTTGAAAACTCAGATGAGAATGTGTTAAGGTGCAAATTGTAAGAAGAAAAGTTGGAAATATACTGTCTGTCCGGGGAGCTCTCATCTGTCCAAGATAAATATCCTCATTTTGATATTGACTAAAGGAGAATGTGATTCCACCCCACACCTCAAATCATGCCAACATCCACAGTCCAGGATTGATTGAATTAATGAGGGGGGCGTATATTCAAATTAGAAGGGGGCGCGTATATTCAAATTAGAAGGGGCGCTTATTCAAACGGGGCGCTTAAGGAAATTCTCAAGTTAGGAGGGGCGCTTATTCAAACGGGGCACTTATTCGCGCGAGTACGGTACTTATATATTAATTTGTCTTTTTTGCAATAAAATACTACAGAAAAACTTCAATACTTATGTTTTTCCAGTATTTTGCTCAGCCTAATGTCTGAAATCGTTGAATAATCAGACATGAAGTTACAGTTACTAAAAACCAGCCCAGTAATTATCTTTACTAATTTATGCCCATTGAAAATGCATTTTACAAGTATTGAATCCAGATTTTGTATCTTGTGAAAAGGCCAGCAAGTAAGAAACTGATCTGCATAGCCTAGGCCTAGTCATTAATAGCCACACAAAACAAGCGATTTTATTATTGAAATAGTAAATACACATAAGAATCATGAGATTGTGTATGTAATGTGCACACACACCCCCTCCCCCCACCCAAAAAAAAACCAAAAAAAAAACAGGCCAAGGCCTTCGGGGCGCTAATACACTTTTGCACTAATCTTTTAATTTTTATTATTTTACCTCTATGTTCTTCTCAATCACAACATATAATTATAAAACATTTTTACATGATTCAACCATTCACAAAATACATTTTTCAAGACAAATATACCTTTATAAATATAGTCTGATACAGCGTTTTTGTGCTTGCTAGCACGACAAGCTCTCTGTACTCTATTTTGCAATCAGTAAGAAATTTCCAGAATGTCCGAGTCAATTCTTAAATTTTGAAACAATTACTAACAGGCAGTCTTACAATTTGAATATCCGACAACAAAATGTGGCATCATGCTGTACCATCTTTTTGTTTAACTTTCTTGTCGTAATCGAGGTTCATTGAACCACCGTTTAGCATTGGCTTTGGTAGTTGTTCGCTGGATTATGCCATTAAATAGGTCTAGGTCAAATTAATGCCTTTGTATGCATTTGGATCATAATCTTTTTAAAGCAAGGCCAAAAAAAAAAAATATACTTGTTTAGCGTCACCGCCAACCCTGATTTTCTAGCCGCCTCTCATTTTTTTTTTTTTTTTTTGGTATGTTGGCATGTGGGCCTAGGACTATGCCAATTAGCAGAGGCCTTCGAACTTTAAATATAGGCCTCTACTAAGCCCTAGCTTGTCGTGCAACACTGACAAAATACACAAAAACTTCAAACCCGGTACTAACAGCAGTACATTATAATAAGTAAGTGTAATCATCATGTGGTGCAATATGTACTATAACACATTTTATTGAGAAATAAATTTTTTAAAACTGTTTAGTAATGAATAATAAAGGCTTCTTTTACAATGCATATCACAATCGAACACAATTATGTACAAAAAAAGAAAGATTAAAATGGATTTAAGACAAGGCTTCATACCTCATCTTCCACCTTAGGACAGCTCCACACTCAAAAAGACCGATTCAGTCGGAGAGGTCATGCTTGACAAAATTGTATATGTAATTTGTAAAATATTTATCATAAATATTTCATATTTACAATTCAAAAAATATAAAAATTAAAGCACTAAAAGTTTATATTTTATATTATAATCAGATATTCAAAATGTTTATTTAAATGTACAATTAATTTTGTAAAAAAATAATGCCGATAAGTTCATTGTAAATAACCCTGTGTGAAATTACCGTGTTTATTTCCGGTGATATTGATAGGCCTTAATATTAATCTTCGTTTTCGTCGTTTTTAATCTTACCCAAATTGTAATTTTATAGGCCAACAACCTAATCTGTATTCCACGTTACAGGAGGATGCCGCGAGTACACATAAGACCATTGTGAATCTTTTGTACTTACTTTCAACGATGGTACCCGGAGAGGTTATTTTGGCTGAGGTAAGGCACCACTCCTGACGACACAGTCACATTCATTGCTTCTTTGCACTCACTGTCAGTCTACCCACTCACACAATGGTTAAGATATCTTCGAGTAGGCTCAGCCTTAGCCAGATGCTATTCTGATTGTCTTGTTTATCTCAGTATTTGGTTTTATAGCATTTAATGTGTAGCATAACTTCCGGTGAAATTAACGTCTAGTAAATTACTTTTTTTTTTTTCATAAATAAATTACCTAATCAATGAGTGGAATTTCCAGGTGTAGGAGGAGTAGGCCTACACTTCATAGGCCTACTGTACTAGCCTAGCCTAATTGACTGCTGAGTGGGGAAGGAGACCATTCTTCTTACTGTTGTAGTTAACGGTGAAAGAAAATCCATATTATTGCTGTATATTTCCATGCTCTTCTAGATAAATATACAATACATTGTATGAAAGGTCGATCCAAAATGAACAGAAACGGGGCTATATGGGCGTTAGTATTGTAGGACAATTCAGCAGCAAACCAGTTTGGCACAATGTATGGAACACTTTTTCTATAGTCAATTTGGTTCACTGAACGACTATTCCTGATATTGAATTATAATAATATGTGTATTTACTTAAAAGTAATATTTTCATTACTGTTGAAAAGGATGTGTTTACTTTTTTTAATTTACTTGTTTACTTGAGCCCTAGGAGATCATCAGTTCTCCTGGGAATAGAGGCCAAGTATGGAATGCTTACTATAGGCCCCTCATGAATAGAAATAAAATTTAATGAGCGGGTGGTCAGACCATCGCTTTTATGAATTTAATGATACAGAATTAACATCCTCATCAGCCAGAGCATTCCAAAGACCAACACATCTTCTAGAAGAAGATCCTGGCCTCAAATAAGTTCTAGAACACCAGTGATTTAGTTCAAAAGAATTTGGGAAGAACTCAGGAATTCAACAAGGGAAGTCTCGGCCAGGCATAAAAGTACAAGAAATGGGTGTAATCTTAAGTTCAATAAATGTGAAGTTCTCACTGGTAACTGATCAGTGTGTCCATGTAAAGTAAAGCCCATTTATTTGCAAAGCAATTGTGATATTGATAATGTGTAAGTTTATAATAAAGACAAACAAAACATGTTTAATTTCCTGATTTTCTAGGTGTTAAAAACATTGCCAAAAACGGTAAGGCCTAGAATGTAATGTCAGCTGCACAACCGAGAACATTGAGTTATCGTTATCATCTGAATTCTAGGATGTAGTTTGGCCCGGAATTTATGTTGTGACGGCCACGGAAGAGTCAATACATTTTAGTGTCTTGTTGTTGTGCAAATTAATAGCTGCCAAATATCACAGTTCAACCCTTGTTGACTGTTTAACATCAGCTGTCCTCAATAAGTACATTAGCAACATTGATAATGACCCATTTCATTGTTAATTTCAGGGATCATCTAGTGTTGATGATCCAAAGGTTTTATGCCTTATCAAAGATGTCACAAGTTCTTCGTTACCTAGATGGAATATCAGTCTACCAGGCACAACTTCAGCAAGAGATCTTTACAAGGAGGTAGCAAACCAAGTTAACTACGAGCTTAATTCTTTTTCTCTTGTCTGGCTTCCAATGGGAGATGATGCCAGTGGTGTAAGTTTTTTTTCATCTTAAAATTTTATGTAAAATATTGTTATTATGGGAAGTGCCAGGATTTGCCAGATTTTGGTGGGGGTGGAGGCATGTTTTGCACAAAATTTCTCGGAAGTAGTCCAGGAGATGAAACCCCTAGAAACTTTGACAATTTAGGGATTTATTTATTTAAATTTAATTGATTTTAGAGTCTAATAATATGTAAAAAAAATATATATAATTTGGTTTTGAATTGTGTTTTTTTTTCAAGACATGGGCAGTGACCCTCTCTCCCACCACTAGTGTCACCCCTGCAAAATATAAAAATGAATCTCATATTTTTACAATTTACCCAGATTGTTAGTCTAAAATTCTTACTGACCATTACAATTAGTGTTATGAACTTTGACAGACCTCATTCATGTTGCAATTCATCTTGTTTTCTAAATCCTTTTTTTTTATAGGTAGATATATTTGATTGTGGAAATAAATCTTTGATGGACATTGGTTTAAAACCAGATAAGAAGCGAAATACTCTCCAAATTCAAGACAAGGACGGTATACAGCCGGTACTTGTACGTACCTTATTGTTACTATTGCATGGATAGATTTATTTGGAGTAATCGTTTTTTTATATTAAGCCCTGTCCAGACTATTGAATTGTTTTTGACCAAAATGTGTGACATGCCTAAATATGGTCATGATGACATCACATCATGACCATCTATAGGTACATCATTACTATATATGGGCATACAAAAGCTTTTTGTCAAAGAAAATTTGATAATCTGAACAGATCTTAATATAGACAATAACTCATTCCTTCTCTTGATCTATTAATATGGTGTTGTGGGAACACTGTTGATGAAACTTTACTCAATAAAACCCTCCCCACAAACCTAAGTTCTATTCACATTTTTATGGTTTATATGAACAATTTGTATGGCTTTCTCATATATGAATATGATGATGACAAATCACATCCATACAGTATATGGGCAAATCACAGTTGTTTTTCAAATGAACTTTGAACAAAGGTGATATGTGATGTTGTTTTAATGATGTGGATTTTTTGTTAGAAATTGTCATTCTTGATTTCGGTTGTTAATAATTGTATAGCTATGGTATTCCATGACTAATGTATCAGTGCAATTGGATAAATATTATATATTTATTTCACTCCAAACAAAATTCAAATATTTAACAATTAAGTTGGCTAACTGGTGGGAATGGGGGCTAAAGCCCCCACTCCCAGGGCCCGTGGTAGGTCCTGCTCCAAAACAAGCTAACTTTTAAATTAGATTCCATGTACCAGTGTTTGTTATCTAACATTTTCTAAAGAAACACTACCCTCTTACCAACACAGTGCTTGGCACGTCGCATGACCTGTACCAAGATTTTTCTCTTAATCTGCCCCTGGCTAATTACAGAGAATGCCAGCTTTATTATGTGTGTAATTATTTGAGGCAAATGGAATCACCGTTACTTAAATCATATTCTCACATATTTACATTTAAAAATTTTCATTATCAATTTTGTGCATTTTCAATTTATTTAACAATATCTACTTTCAAAGCAAATACAAAAACATTAATTTACTGACAACATCATAACTTTCAATCATAAGTAAAATATTGTTAATAACAGGCTATATCAATTTTAAATTATTATTAAAAATAATCATCCTAGGTCGGTGCTGTAGGGACATCAGCCACGGAGCATGAGATGGCACCAATAATAAATGTAGATGACCCAAGTCCTGTGACTTCACCTATATCGGACCAAGCCAGTGGTTCCAGCAGCATGAACCCAACATATGATTATTCCTATGCTTTGCCAGTTATCAATAAATCAGACACAGGTAAACCTACATAATTTGTTGAAAATGCTCTGTCTACACCCTGGTTCTTAATAGGTGGCCCGCAGACTAAATTTGGGTAACATTGCCGCCCTAACCCCGACAGGGACATTGTCTTTGCCGCACCATTGAGCAAATCTTGGCGCCACTGACTCTTGGCGCCACTGACTGAAAATTAACGGTCGTCTGGTCGCCAGTGGCGACCATTTTTGGTGTTTGGCGATAAATTTCTAAATTTCCAACTATATTGGATTAGCGAAAAAATGACCAACTGCTTTAGCCATTTTGGTGAAGGCTTAAAATCTTTTAAAAGTTTCAAATACTTGCTAAAATACATCTTCTTTTTTTTCGATCGAGCTCTATTTTTTGCCAATTCATAGCCATGCGACTTTTATTTGTGGTGTTGTATTAGTAGTCTAGCTGCAAATGCCAATTTGTTATTTTTTATTTTAACCCAGTGGATGCAGAGGAGTGGCTGTATGACAACAAATACTATATTCACGCCAGCCGGCTAGCAAAGTAGACCTAAAGGCAGCCGACAGTCGGGTACATAAAAACTCCCTAGCTTTTGTTTTTTTCCAACAAGGGGGCCTATCTTAGATCTATGCCTATGCGTGCAGTGGTGGTAGAAATGTCATTAATAATAATTTAATCAATGATTTTGTGTTCTCGTCTGATACATAAAATACATTTAAGTAATGTATGTGATATTTAAGAATGCACCACAAGGGTTTGTTACACGGTGCATGTACTGTATAGCAGAGTGACAGCAGTAGAATAGCGGTTTTTATCTCCAAGGCTAGGCTAGGCCAAGATCGTAAGCCCTTAATAATCGCGGTGAACAATTTGGGTGATAGACGACAAGGCCTGTTTCCAGAAGATCATACTCAAGCCAATTTTTAATAATCCTTGATGGGACTTTATGTCCTGATACATAATTATGCTGAAAATGCAGGAAATATAGGTTTCCAGGAGACACTATGGTTCCCAAAAGTAGGCTATTTTCCTTGCTTCATAAATCACAATTTTGGGCCAAAACAACTCTCTACTTGTGTCATGTACTAATACAATGGATTTTTTCCCGGTACCCTGAATGTGGCTCTTGTCAGGTCGGACTATTTTAACCATTTGCGTCAAATTTTGGGTAAAGATAGATTCAATTGGCTAAAAAAAAATTGTAAACCAATTTCATCTTGCTGGTTTTATTGATTTTGTGTTTTTTGTAAAATTATGTTTCGGCCCATAAAAAAATAGGGCCAGTACTATAACTTTGGAAGGGCCTGTATCATTTCTTCCGCCGCTATGGTTTGGAGGTTAATTTTTAGGCCTGATTAATAAGCAAGAAATAAGAATATCAATAAGCAAAAAAATTGTTCTTGAAATGCTTTCTGGCAAAATTGATTGTGGTTTCAGTATATTATAATTATAATGAATGCTGTGTCTTATAATATTGTATTGTAGTAAGATTAAAAATAGAATTTGAAATGGCCAAAAGAAAGAACTTCGTGCCAGCAGGGGGGCTTGTGCCACTGTACCAAGCATTTCACAGGTCCATGAAGTATACAGCCCTACCTCTCTTGCAAATTCATTATATTACTATATTTTATTACGTATAAAATTTTGTAGTGTCGGAAATCTAACCTAGACTAGGTTGTCATAATGATGTATTTTTATACTTTTTGTTTTAAGTTACTTTTAAATAAAATTTATTTAAATAAAATAAACATTTTTCCCCAGGTTTTGTTGGTTTGGTAAATCAAGCAATGACCTGTTACCTGAATAGTCTTCTGCAGACCCTGTTCATGACACCTGAGTTTAGGAATGCTGTGTATAGGTAAATGGCCAATCATGCAAAAAATAAGATGAACATTGCCTTTTACTAAAAAGAATTCAATGAAAAATAATAAGTCTTTCAAATTGACGTGACTGCAATCGGATAGCTTAGTTTTTAGCTTCATCAGGAAGGCTGATGTGATTATAACAATTCACTTGTCACACCATCGTCATCATCGTCATTATCCTCATTGTTAATATTAAGGGGAAAAAAATGAAATACTGTATAAATTGTTACAGAACTGGTCTGAAAATACTGAGCTACCGGGTTGAAGCCTTCAGATATTAAGTTGACCCATAATAATAACAAAGACTATATAACTGCAAGAGGTCCAATTTTTCTCGTTGGAACGCAAGCCTGTCTCAGAAAGTACTACCACAAACTAAAGAGTGTCCTTCAAAAGAACTTAAACTGTGTTCGTATCAAAAGCATGCTGTGTCTATAGAACACATGTTCTATATTTGAACTCTATTCCACTTCTAATAGGGTGCCCCCTATTTCGTGGTAATACTTTTTAAAATGTTTTTCATTGCGTGCATACAAAATATACTATACACTTTGATAAGAAGTAGGACAAAGAATACACAAGTCTGTATTTTGTAGACAGTGAGTGTATATAGTTTGATGAAATTTTAGTGATATGTTTTTTTTTTGACAGATGGAAGTATGATGGTCGCGATGAGTCATCATCTTCAAACATCCTATATCAACTGCAAAGGTTGTTCTCAGTCATGCAGACAAGTAAAAAAAGAGCTGTAGAGACTATGGACATTACAAGAAGCTTTGGTTGGGATAGCTCAGAAGGTGTGGATAATAGTGTAATAATTTATAATTTACATCAATAATCAATGTGGAAGTGTTTGGTGCAGCGTTAGAGGCGCTCAACCTTGTGTTTGGGGCTCAAAAAAACTTGCTGTGCCAGTTGCTTGTGTCCTTGGGCAAGGCACTTTATCTGCATTTGTCTCTCTCTACCCAGGAGTATAAAGAGGTATCTGGTAGGATATTGTGGCATTTATTGTACTAGTTTTGTGCGCTGAGTACATGCGCATGACTAGGTATACACCCCAGGGAGCAGAGGAGGTTGGCCTTTGTGCCGGTTTGCTTTTGTATATTATCCAGTAGCCAGGAGTAATAATGCTCAGCGCCTTTGATCATTGATATGGAATTGGCGCTATACAGTATAAATCTTTTATTATTATGAATATTGCAATGCTAATGCTAAAATGTAGGAGAAATATGTTCTGTTGTTACGTTTTGATGTTTTATTGGATGAAGATCAGTTTTTTGTTTTTTTTATTCAATATAATCATACATACGTACAAAATAAAAAAGAAATTACATAAAAAGACTAGTAAAACAATAAGAAGCAATGAAACTTTATAACAAAAGATGAAGATCAGTTGATATTGTAACAAAACGTCACAGAAGTGTGTATATCTTGGTTAAAAGAATTATTCCATTTTAAATCAAGAAAATGTTTATGGTAATGACAATAAGGGAAGATGACAGCTGTATGAACTATAGGGTTTTTGTATCTTTATACTTTGTAGTTTGGCAGCAGCATGATGTACAGGAGCTGTGTAGAGTGATGTTTGATGCTTTGGAGAAAACGTGGAAGAAAACAGACCAACACAACCTTATTAATGACCTTTATCAAGGTCAAATGAAGGATTATGTGAAATGCTTGGAGGTATTTCTTTTTTAATTCTGATATCAAAATAAAAGTTCATCTTTAGAAGATTTTTTTGATATTTGCAATGTATCATCCATCACGGATATTCACTTTTAGGCCGTCAATTCTAATTTCATGGAAATTTTTAAATACATAAATAGATTTTTTCAGGGTGAACACCCTTAAGCAACGAGTCATATATTTACTTTTTATTTTCAGTGTGGATATGAGAGTGCTAGAACCGATACTTACCTGGATGTTCCTCTTGTTATAAGGCCATTTGGATCTGATGAGTCTTACAGTAGTGTTGTAAGTAAAAACAGTGTTGTTTTAATCTGAAATCTAAAATATACATGTTTCAGTATCTATTAAGTTGTATAATGGCTGCAGGCTCTGTAAAAATGAAAATATTTCGGAAAAGCTATATATTTTGTTGTCATATTACACAAGTGAACTGAAATTACAATGATCAAATAAGAATATAGTTGCTACTGATGCTACATGTTAAAAAAAAAATGATGAGAATGAATTTTTTCTTAGAGAATGTTTATTGATTACCATTTGCAAGTCACAAAATATACGCTATTATTTTTGTCGTGATTATTGATTGTACAATTTTTTTCCCTTCAGGAAGAGGCATTGAAGGCATTTGTTTCTCCTGAAACCTTGAATGACACCAACCAGTATTTTTGTGAGAGATGTAACAAAAAGAATGACGCTCACAAGGGGTTAAAGTTCATCTCATTTCCGTACCTTCTCACAATGCAGCTAAAAAGATTTGACTTTGATTATACTACTATGCACAGGATTAAGCTGAACGACAAGTAAGTGTGAATAAGAAATGATCTCTCATTAAAGATGTTTCTCAATATATACCATCTGGAAAAGTAAAAGCCACTAAAAAATCAAGCATAGTATCAAATTTTTCATATAAAAGAATTAGGTAATTTATCAACGTCCATAAGCATAGACATACTGTCTCTTATACACATCTAGATGTGTATAAGAGACAGGTACTATGTTGTGTGTATGTGGTGTATGTTAACTTATGTTGTGTGTATGTGGTGTATGTTAACTTATGTTGTGTGTATGTGGTGTATGTTAACTTATGTTGTGTGTATGTGGTGTATGTTAACTTATGTTGTGTGTATGTGGTGTATGTTAACTTATGTTGTGTGTATGTGGTGTATGTTAACTTATGTTGTGTGTATGTGGTGTATGTTAACTTATGTTGTGTGTATGTGGTGTATGTTAACTTATGTTGTGTGTATGTGGTGTATGTTAACTTATGTTGTGTGTATGTGGTGTATGTTAACTTATGTTGTGTGTATGTGGTGTATGTTAACTTATGTTGTGTGTATGTGGTGTATGTTAACTTATGTTGTGTGTATGTGGTGTATGTTAACTTATGTTGTGTGTATGTGGTGTATGTTAACTTATGTTGTGTGTATGTGGTGTATGTTAACTTATGTTGTGTGTATGTGGTGTATGTTAACTTATGTTGTGTGTATGTGGTGTATGTTAACTTATGTTGTGTGTATGTGGTGTATGTTAACTTATGTTGTGTGTATGTGGTGTATGTTAACTTATGTTGTGTGTATGTGGTGTATGTTAACTTATGTTGTGTGTATGTGGTGTATGTTAACTTATGTTGTGTGTATGTGGTGTATGTTAACTTATGTTGTGTGTATGTGGTGTATGTTAACTTATGTTGTGTGTATGTGGTGTATGTTAACTTATGTTGTGTGTATGTGGTGTATGTTAACTTATGTTGTGTGTATGTGGTGTATGTTAACTTATGTTGTGTGTATGTGGTGTATGTTAACTTATGTTGTGTGTATGTGGTGTATGTTAACTTATGTTGTGTGTATGTGGTGTATGTTAACTTATGTTGTGTGTATGTGGTGTATGTTAACTTATGTTGTGTGTATGTGGTGTATGTTAACTTATGTTGTGTGTATGTGGTGTATGTTAACTTATGTTGTGTGTATGTGGTGTATGTTAACTTATGTTGTGTGTATGTGGTGTATGTTAACTTATGTTGTGTGTATGTGGTGTATGTTAACTTATGTTGTGTGTATGTGGTGTATGTTAACTTATGTTGTGTGTATGTGGTGTATGTTAACTTATGTTGTGTGTATGTGGTGTATGTTAACTTATGTTGTGTGTATGTGGTGTATGTTAACTTATGTTGTGTGTATGTGGTGTATGTTAACTTATGTTGTGTGTATGTGGTGTATGTTAACTTATGTTGTGTGTATGTGGTGTATGTTAACTTATGTTGTGTGTATGTGGTGTATGTTAACTTATGTTGTGTGTATGTGGTGTATGTTAACTTATGTTGTGTGTATGTGGTGTATGTTAACTTATGTTGTGTGTATGTGGTGTATGTTAACTTATGTTGTGTGTATGTGGTGTATGTTAACTTATGTTGTGTGTATGTGGTGTATGTTAACTTATGTTGTGTGTATGTGGTGTATGTTAACTTATGTTTTGTGTATGTGGTGTATGTTTGTTTGTGTCGATTAACCTTGATATGGGCATGTGCATTTCAGACTATGAAATGGCTTATTAATTTTCACAGGCTGTATGGCTGCATGTGGCATGCAGGCCTTTACTTTGCCCACTGTTTTCTAGGATACTTATAGGAATATTATACAAATATAGACTGCTCATGAGGGGAATAATGAAATCTATCTGTCTAATATAGGCTACGGTCTCCACATCACTGAGGGACTATAGATTTCACCGTTTCTCGAATCTAGAGCAGTCAATATTTGTTTTATATACCTCGTACATAGATTCTACGAGACCTAAAAGAGTAATGAAAATAGTACACACCAAGTAGGCCTAGGCTTACTTCTTATGCCTATGCGATTAAAGGGCCAATCGCTCTCAGCATCATAGAGGTTGTGTCTCCATTACCATTCGTGCATGTCATAAATTACATAGCAAGGAGGCCAAGAGATTGCACATCGCACAACACAGCAAAAAATGTACTATCATTTAGGGTGATAGTACTTTCTATTGCCTGCTTCTTAACCAATCAGATGCCAAGAATCTATGTATGGGGTATAAAATATTATTTATACATCTGCTGGTGGGCCAAGAATATATTTTAATTTTTAATTGAAAACCAATAACCTTATTATTTACCACTTTTCTCATATTAATAATATTATGATAATAGTATTAATGATATTAATAATATTTTGTTTTTTGTCTTAGAATGACCTTTCCAGATATCTTAGATCTGAATAGTTTCATAGATGAGGATGAAAGGACACCTGATATGGTAAGTTTATATACCATGGACATTTTTAGTTCCTATGCATGTAATGCAATAGGAACTATTGTAATCACTCTTGCTATTTCCTATGTTTTTTATTGTGTGTGTGTAGACATTTATGCAAATGCGCATGCGTCAAAGAAAAGTTTTTCGACATTTTGTTTTACATCGCGATGCGAAGATCGATGTGAAGTTTCTGCAGAGTTCAGTCAGGGCTCACGCTCACCGACCGGAATGTCGGCATGGATGAAACTATTTTGGTTTTACGGCAAAAAAATCATCTGCTGTAGGCATAGGTATTTTGAAGAAGGCCTAAAATAAAACTAAAATGTTTTAATACTTGCTGAAATACATCGAGATGTGTATAAGAGACAGCTGCAGCACCTAGGGCTATACAATTCAAGTGGGCAATAATAAATCAATTAAGTACAGTATTTAATTTATATTCAAAAGAGAT